CCCACCAGATGGCGCCACTTAAAACTCAGGACAAAAAGGGTGTAATGTTTTTGTTTGCCCTCACCAGGTGGCGCCATTTAAGACTCAGCGCAAAGAGCTAGCAGGACTATAAACAGCCAAGGGGCTTGATACTCAATCCTGTATTCTTCCACACAATCTGATGGTCCAGTGCACACTGTTGGAGATTCTCTTTTGGGAACTCTTGGTTGCGAGATGCAGCTTCTCCTGAACATTCTAGTTGGACACTATGGGCTTAGTGAAGGATTTATCAGTGTAGGATTATGGACTTTTTTTTTTATTGTTTTCTTTTTCCTATAACACTCATATACATGATGGGTTGGGGAGGGAGAGAGGTTTGTGTTGTGTGTTCATATGCTCAAAGTTCAATAAAAATCAAATTACAAAAAAATAATAAGTTCGGACTTTCTGTACTCTTGTTTGATAGCATTGGTTCATGGCACTTGCAAATCACAGTGGATTGGGAGATACAGTATATGCAGACCCTTAAAACATAAAAAAAAATCTTATAATAAAAAAAGCCACAATTTTCCCTACCACAGTTTTTTTTTATTAATTATAATTTAATACAGATGGAATCAAACTAACATGTTTGATTCGTTCCATATCTGAGTTCTTTGTCACCAGCTTCATCCTAGGATAGAATGAGTCAGGTTTACCTTGACTCATTTAGTTTAGCTAAAACAGACTCCTGTATATCAAGGAGATCTTTTACAAGAGAGCTGGCCAGGAGACATAGCTTACTTTGTTTCAGAGGGGAAAAAAACAAAAGCACATATGTATTAGGAAAGAGCGAGAGAAGTAAAGGAACAGAACAGCAGCAAACTGCCTAAACCAGTAAATGCAATTAATACTGTGTGTAGAATAGATCATCAGCCATCATCACAACATCTGAAAAAGAGCAACCCCTTCCTCAGGTCTTCAAAAAGCCTTTTAAGCAAAGTTCCTGTGACTAGTATAATTTAAATGTCTCCAAAATGTCAACTTCTGTTTATACTGGATGGAGTTTGGACTGTGGAGCAGTGATTGGTGATTGGTGACCAAACTATACATTCATTGCATGGACCGATGCTAATTGTCATGCTGCTCTAATATTCATATTGCGTGAACACAATCTCAGATTATGCTCATGCCATGAAGAAAGAAATCTAATGCATTTAGTTGCAGAGCACTATCATGGCTATATGTTACAGTGGAGCAAAAGACGGTCACCTAAGAGGTTTAGACACAATTTTCAACTTTTCTTCAGAGAGAAGCCACCAGGTATCAGGTACTCCTTCCACACATGAGCACAGTGCAGAGAAGGTGTATTTATGGACTCCTTCCAGCAGAGGGAGACACTTGAACGAAGCACAGAGAAGCTGCTCTTATGCTCTCCTCCAGAGAGAGGGAGACTTTTTATTTTGGCTCAGGACAATCCTCTTTAACATAATTACATGTCAGTATTATTGTTTTAATTTAGAGTTGTCTTAAAATAGATTAGATGCCTTCTACCTTTTGAGGCTACATGTGTATATTTTTTGCCTAAGCGAAACAAAACAGACTTGAGCAGACTTTGAATCTTACTAAATCAAAAATTTGGTTTGAAGTGAAATAAACTGAAACTCTGATAATAACATATAGTGGCACTGATATGCTGTAGCCACAGTGGCCCAACAGCTACATATCTACTCATCCCATGCCTCTCTCTCTATACAGATGTGAGGAGTGTGTGCAGCAGATTCGGGCTGCTGTAGAGCCCCATCCATTTTAGACTGCTGCTGTGTCAGCAGAAATTTCTGCTGCAAAGATGAATTTTGCTGCATCTTAACCCTTGTTTGAGAACAAAGATTATATTTAAAACATCAACTAATATTACTTTTGTTTCCACTTTATTACTGATTAAATTGATAGTTTGAAAAGTTTAAAAGACTATTCCAATCATAAAGATGAATGGTAAATTATAAAAAAGTTCAGAAATATACATATATAATCAAATAACAACTCCCCTTTACTGAAATTGTTAATTATTCCTGTTTCCTGCAGCAGGACTTTGTAATGATGCTGGTACTGACGTGAAATGTTAAAATTCAATAAATTTTCTCACAGGAAAAGGTGTCTGAGAAATGACAGTGTTTGGTAAAGTTGATTTGGTTTGGCAGCATAGTAAAAAGCTTAGATAACAGCTTAATATATAAACAATCAACAAGTTACAATTAACAGTTTGCTGTATCTATCATCTTTTCAGTGTGTCTGTATTTTGAGTGTATTTTTGTCATAATTTTCTTCTCTGTTTGATTTATTTTAACCTTTTGGTATTTTCTGCTGTGTGAAGCACTTTATATTGTACTGTAACTTCAGCTTGAAAATGTACTATTATTATTGTTTGTAAGTCCATAATTATGTAGCTTTGAGTATGTAATTTTTGACTTTATTAAAATATCACAAATGACCACTTTAGATCATGTTCATGGCACCGTATAACATAGCCTTATTAGAAGGTAGTTGGCTGTTACAGCGGTGGAGTTGCACCAATGCAGTTTCTGTACTATGATGGACTCTAAAACCTGACTGAAAATCCTCAAACAAATCATTCTTGTGCAAGTGGTCACATAACTGCTTTGCAACAGCTTTTTCCAGAATTTTAGAAATAAACGGGAGACTGGATATTGGTCTATAATTAGCTAGGACACCTGGGTCAAGAGTAGGCTTTTTGAGTAGAGGTTTAATTACAGCAACCTTAAAGCCTGTGGAATATAACCTGTTAATAGAGAAAGGTTAATCAGATCTAATATGGATGTGTTGATTAGGGGAAAGATGTCTTTGAGCAGCCGGTCGGGATGGTGTTATGCAACGGTCCCAAACAAAAAAACAACCCCTGCAGTCACATAACAACAAACACAAAAAGTCCCAAAACAGCAAAGGCACAAAACCACGTCCAAAAGGTCAAAAGAAAATGAGGCCACCAAAGGTGTGTGATCCAGTGCAGGGGGGAAGTACAGAAGTGATGTGGTCCTTGACTAACCTTTCAAAGCAGTTCATTATTACAAAAGTAAGTGTGATAGGTCAGTAATTGTTAAAGCAAGAATGTGTAAATGTTTGAGGTATTGGGACAATCGCCAACCCAGACTTCTCTGGCTTTCCATCAGCATGATCATTGTCTGCATCATATTTGTTCATTTTGGCATTCATATATTAAAGCTTTCAAACTGCTATTCAGACTCTGGTGTCCTGCATTTGGGTCCTCTTGAGTTATATTCTGACAACATAAGCCTCGTCAAGGCTCAGCACCTCATTGCCATGATGAAAAAGGGACTTTTAGTGCTGGTGCAGTGTTAAGTGCCTCAAAATTCCCCAAATAATTTTTGAGGTTATTGAGAAGCTCTGTGTTATCATCACAAGATAGGGTGGGGGTACTGCAGTCTATTATAAACTTGATGCCCTGCCACAGACATCTAGTGTCTGTGGTCATTAACGGGACTCTGGACCTTGTTTCCATAGGTTTTCTTTGCTATTCTGATAGCACAGTTCAGGTTGGCCCTTGTAGATGTCAGGGCTGCTGCCTCTCCAGATTTGAAAGCAGCATTTCTTTCTTTCAATATGGTCTCCACTTCAAATGTCATCCATGGGTTCTTGTTTTTCCCCAGAGTGTGATGCACTTTGTGTTACAGGCATCATCTAAGCATTTGCCTAGGTAGCTTGAGACAACCTCAGCATACTCCCCGACATCTCTCACGTGGTTTGTAGAGGCTGCATCTTTGAATACAGACCAGTCAGTGAATTCAAAACAGTTTTAGTGCTGTGATGTCCCCCTCAGACCAGATTCTCACCTGACCCACAGTTGACAGCTGGCTTTGATCTTGTGACTGTGGTTTGTATGCTGGGATCAGCGTTACAGAAATATGGTACAGAAAATATGGTACAAAAATATGGTCAAATGATGGGGGTGGCTTTGTAAGTCTGCTTAATGTTTTTGCTTGCATTATCCAATATGTTGTAAGTCACTAATAGAGTGACAGAGTGCATCTAAAGCCTATATAGCCTAAACAGCTGTAATAACAATGACAGAGATTCCGCTTTGTAGGTTTTACTACCTTAAAAATAATAGTACGAAATGAAATTATATAAAAAATGCAACTTAAGGTCCAAGTTATGTCTTTTAGAAATGATAAACAAGTATACATAAATAATGTTGACAGTGATCGTAACAGTTACACATTTATTTAGATTAGCTTAGAGTACACAGTTATGGTAATTGTGGTAAAATCATAAAACAAATTATTGACTAGTATTAATAATCTGGACACATATTTACAATGCATTTGTGAATGATTATTGTTTGATTAGTAATGTTTGTAGACAGCTGCAGTTGTGCTTTCTGGGATTTTTCTGAATGGCTCATTGAATCACTTTCGGTGTGTGTGTGTGCGTGTATGTATGTGTGGCCCTGTTTTTCTGTAATTGTGGGTACCCAAAACCAGGAGCCCAATTACATTGTGAGGACTTGCCTTCCTCGTGGACAGTTTTAAAAGTAAAAGTTAGGTAAGTAGTGTTTATGGATAGGGCTATGGTAATTTTCGAGAGAATGAATTTAAGTCGATGTACTGTCCCCTGAAGTGATGGCAACACAATGTGTGTGTGTGTGTGTGTGTGTGTGAGTGAACTAATGCATACTGCAGTGGCCAATGCTAATGATGGAGGGGGAGAAGGAAAAAGAGGAAGAGGTGAGAGATGTGTGATTAGACAAGTAGCATGATGGTAGAAGGGAAACAGAAAAGTGGAAGACAGATATGAATGAAGGACACTACAGAAGAGTAAATACATTTCCCTGCTCTTCACTCTGACTCACCCCCCTGTCTTTCCATTCTTACACTGGAGCATTCTGCCTGTATGCCCTGATCATCACACACACACACACACACACACACACACACACACACAGACACCGTCATAGAGCTAGCTCCGCCTCCTCTGCAGTATAGCAACAGCTAGTGAGAGCAGCAATGGAGGAGCCAGCAGGGCAGCAGGAAAAAATAGAGGAATCATGGGAAGGAGGGCGTGATGGATGTAAAGCAGACTGGGGAAATGACTGCTCCCTCTCCTCTCTCCTGAAACACTCCTGCCTTCTTTGCTGGTCATCTCCCAGGGACACCGACATAGTGGAAACCGATGAGAGAGTCCTCATCAAGGCAGCCGAGATCAGAGTAAGAAGACCGCAGCACCTAGCGCTGGTGTGTCTTTTTTTTTTTTTTTTTTGTTTTGTTTTTGTTTTTTTGTTTTTTTATCTGTGTGAGTGGGTTTTGTGTTGGTATCATCTTTCTTTGAGTTAACATATAAATCAGAATTGTCCTTAATGGCCAAGTATGTTTGAACATACAAGAATTTGACTTAAGTATAATGCTCTCAATATGCTGTAAGGTAAGATGAATAGAAAATGAGAATAAAAATTGTGCATGTATTCAAGTAGGAAATGTAAGCAATCAAAAACTTAAAAGGAATGAGAGAAAAAGAGACAGCATTCATAAATATAAGTACATTATGGCAGAAGAGCTTTCAGACTGATACATATACATATGGATATATATACAATTTATTGCACTGGGGTGATTGCTGTGTCCTGTCCTACAATCATGGGTTAAGTGTCCATTAGAGTAATTGCACAAGGGAAGAAACTATCCTTGTGTCTGGTTGTCTTGGCATACAGTAACCTGTAGTGCCGTCCAGAGGGGAGGAGTTCACATAGTTCATGTCCAGGATCTGATGGGTCTACCCTCCTTTTGACCCATGAGGTATACAGGTCCTCCATAGAGGGCAGGCTGGCACCAGTGATATTTTCTGCAGTCCTGACTGTCCATTGGAGTCTATTCCTATCCTTTTGGGTTGCTGAACCAAACCAGACAGTGATGGATGAGCAGAGAACAGACTTGATGTCTCCTCTGTAGAACTGTATCAGCAGCTCTTGGGGCAGGTTGAACTTCCTGAGCTGGCGCAGGAAGTAGCCTCCTCTGTTGTGCCTTCTGGTCCGTGGATCAATTGGTACCGGGCCGCACAAGAAATCATTAATTATTTCCGTTTTATTTATTATCTGAGTCTGAACGATCTTTTATTTTGAAAAATGACCGCATTCTCTCGGTTACATCTCGGTCACTTGAGCGCCAAAACTGGCTTACTTGTGGACATATTCAGTCTGCTCAATGAACTCAATCTGTCACTTCAGGGGAAAATGACAACTGTCTTCAAGTTGGCAGATAAAGTAGTTGCATTTAAAGCCAAACTGGATTTGTGGGGACGGCGCGTCAACAGCGGCATTTTGGACATGTTTCAAACATTAGCGGGGATTTTGGGTGAGACTGAGCCTGAGCCTTCATTCTCCCAGCTGGTGCACGATCACCTGTCTTTGCTTTTAAAAGAGTTCGAGCGCTACTTCCCAACCACAAAGGACCCACGAACTGCCAAGGAATGGATCCGCAACCCATTTGTCAACAAACCAGGTGAATCCAGCATGTCTGTGCAAGAAGAAGATCAACTGCTGGAGATCGCAAATGACGGCGGCCTTAAAAGTATGTTCGAGACAACAACTCTGTCGGTGTTCTGGATTAAAGTCATGACAGAATACCCTGAGATCGCCACCACAGCACTGAAAACCCTGTTGCCATTTCCGACATCCTATCTGTGTGATCTGTGTGGTTTTTCTGCAGTGACAGCAACCAAAACAAAACAACGGAGTAGACTGAACATAAGCAACATACTCCCTATTACATGGGACCGTCTCGTTGCAGAGAAACAAGTTCAGGGCTCCCACTGACTTAGCGTTATGGGGAATCACAGTGGATTCACGCGATTCACGTTTATTATTATATTTACCCCCCCGGGCCACGGTAAAATTGTCAAGCGTTGACCGGTCCGCAGTGATAAAAAGGTTGGGGACCACTGTTCTTGATGATGGTGCTGATGTTGGCCATGTACTTCAGGGCTTGGGAGAAGGTGGAGTCTAGTAAATTGAAAGACTATGCTGCTAATACAGTGCTACCGAGTATGGTGGGTGGGTGGGCGACTCCTCCTGAAGTCTACTCTCATTTCCATTGCTTTGAGTGTGTTAAGCTCCAGGTTGTTGCGACAACACCGAGGCCATCTGTTCAACTTCCTGTCTGTAGGCTTGTCACCATCTCAGATGAGGCCAATGACCATTGTGTCATCTGCAAACTTCAGGAGCTTAACAGAGGGGTCTTCCAAGATGCAGTCATTGCTGTAGAGCAGTGGTTCTCAAACTTTTTCTGTCATTCCCCACTTTTTGAGTGGGGGCAGGTTCAAGCCCCACCACCTGTCATCCATCACCCCATCAAAATGGTAACAAAGTAGTCCAAGTTTAAAATTTTCACATTTATTGAAATATCATGAAGTTTTAAATCAATAACACCAAGTTCAAAATAGAGAAAATAAAAGTGCAATTGTGTCATCATTTTGCTTTACTTTGTCAACAGAGCAAATGCATTTGGCAAGAAGAAGTAGTCAATATGTGAGTCTTATCACTGCATTAGTGGCTGCAATGAGCCTGTTTTGTCCATTGCACATTTAGTGCAACTATCTTGATTAGAGCCTGGAGCACTTTTCTTTTCCCTGCCATGGTCTGTGCGCCTTCCGAGCAAAAGCCCAAACAATTCTCCCATTTCAATGTGTGCTCAGTGAGGTAACTGTCAAGAATCTTGAAAAGCTCATCAGATGTGGGCAGGCAAAATGAGCTGGGTCAGTTCAGAGTGGAGGATGTCCAGGATGATTGTGGACTTCAGCTTGGCGTTCAACACCAAGAAGACCTGTGCATAGGTCCCTGGGGAGTCAAGGCACTGCAGTGCCATGTTGACTGCATCATCCACTGACCTATTTGCCCAGTAGGCAAACTGCAGGGGGTCCAGCAGGGGGTCTATGATGTCCTTCAAGTGGGCCAACACAAGTCTCTCAAAGGACTTCTTGATGACAGATGTCAGGGTGACAGGTCTGTAGTCATTCAGTCCATTGATGGAGGTTTTCTTGTAAACCTGAATGATGGTGGAGCGTTTGAAGCATGAGAGGACTTCACACAGCTCCAGTGATCTGTTGAAGATAAGTGTGAAGATGGGGACCAGCTGATCAGCACAAGCTTTCAGGCAGAAGCCGGGATCACACCATGTTTTTTTAAAAAGGCCACACACATCCTTTTCACAGAGCGCCATGGGTTCAGGGGAAGGGAGGTGATCATGAGGGTAGCAGCTGCTACCATGTAGCAGCTCTCATGTGATGTCATGATGCTGACAATGTGAGATGAATCTCAGATTGGTTGAGTTTGTAGATGAACATGTATGCAATGCAAGTATGGATTACTAGCTGGGTAAAGGCCAGGCTGTAGTGTGTGGCTTATTGTTATTTGATTAACTTTGGTAATTAATCAACCATTTGGAAAGATGGTAACTGTCATTTTAAAGTGACAATTTGGCTATGACCACGACCTGAAGGCAGCTTCTATAGTTTTATCTACAGTGGGTACGGAAAGTATTCAGACCCCCTTAAATTTTTCAATCTTTGTTATATTGCAGCCATATGCTAATGTAACCCAGGTTATGTTTTGAAGCTCAGATTTACAGAGTGTCCCCGAATGCCCCATTAGCAAATTAGCGCGAGATGTGATAGATTTAGGGGAACTCACGGAGGTCTCGAGTTCTCTCGCACATGGCTGAGCAGACACGCACCTTCCGACGGGTCGGCAGAGAGGAAAGCCATTAGAAGTGCAGGAGACACCTAGCAGGATATTTAGGAGCAGTCGATCACTGCACTGTGTTTCATAGGAGCTAGCAGTGTCAATAATAGAGTTATTGAGCATATCTGAGGGAAAAGGACAGGAAAAACTCCGACGTCGTTC